GATACCCTCCCATCCCATTAAGGGTATTGCATTCATATTCGTCCTAGCCTGCTGTACGGGGGTGATCTGTTTGCTTGTCTGTCCCCCTCAGGAGGTTGTACACACCTTCAGGGCAGGTACCCCTGTACTTCAAGTGTCCTGCACCCTCAGCCCCCACCCTGGAGTCCGACAGACACATGACAACCAGCAGTTTGACAACTGAGTGCATGAATGTTTGTTTTCTGCCCTTGGTTTTTCATTTGGCTCTCAGAGAACTCCTATTAATAGCCCTTTTTATTTTCTGGGCCTATCACCTTTTATTTATTACTCTGCCCTATTCAGTCTGCATCTTAAATGATTCCTGGAATGTAGATGCTGGAAGGGACTCATTGGGTTTCTCTTTTTCACTCAATGTTCCTTGAGCTCCTCCTCAAGGCAGGTGTCATGCTAAGGACTATGGACACAAGGGTGGACAGTTCTCTGTCCTTGCCCCCAGAGAGCTCACTGTCTATGAGTCATGGATGATTACAATGCAGCATGAGCAGGGACACACAGGAGTGTGACAGCTTTGGAGAGGGCCACCACACTTGATCTAAAGTATGTCAAGGAAAGCTTCCTGAAGGGCCATGATTTTAAATGACACATGCAGGATAAATATTTCAGAGCTAAAGAGTGGGGGAGAGTAGTGATTTCGCAGACTTTGATGTGTATTAGAATCTTTTGGAGGGGGCGCCTGGGTGGCTCAGTCAGTTAAGTGTCCCGACTCTTGATTTTGGCTCAGGTCATGATCTCAGGGTTGTGGGATCGAGCCCCGCATTGGGCCCTCGCTCAGCGTGGAGTCTGCTTGTCCCTCTCCCTCTACACCTCCCCCTACCCATCTCTAAAACAAACAAACAAACAAACAAAGAAATAAAATCTTAAAAAAGAAAAGAATCTTCTGGAGGGCTTGTTAAAATCCAGATTGCTGGGTGTGGTCCCCAGAGTTTCAGGGTCTGGTCTGACCGGGGCCATTTGTGACGAGCCCCCAGGGACTGCTGCTGTGGTGGCCGGAGGCAGGAGCTGCACAGAGACCGCGGACATTAGCACAGCCTCGGAGCAAGCAGAAAAGGCAGATGGTTCAGGCTGGCTGGAACGCTCTCAGGAGGTGCCGAGAGGTGGGGGTGTTGTTGGAGAGGGACGAGGCCAAACCCTGTCTACAAGAGTAACATAGGAGACTTGTTTCACCTGTTCGGGGTGTCGGGACCCAGCTCTGAATAAGCAGGTGGAGAACTCCTGCTCTCCAGGCTTGTACATTTCAGTTTGGGGACATCAGTTACCTCCAAGTCACTGTTTTCATCTGTGAAACGGAGATCACGACAGTAGCCTCCGCAGAAGGTTATCGGGATTGAATGGTCACAAGGAAAGAGCTTACAACACCTGGTTGCTGGCAAACATTTGATCATTGTTACCATTATCTGCCTAGAAAGATCGCATTTCCCCACTTTTGGCTGATTCCTGTGAGACATGCCTGTTGTGCTTACAATGAAACTTCTGGGTGAGGTGGGGGAAAAAAAGCCATAGCCGTGGTCTGGCTTCTGTGATTAGAAAGCTCTGTGGCCTTGGTCAGCTGCTTAACCTCTCTGAGCCTCATTTTCGGATTCTTAAAAATGCAGTACAAAAAGACAAATATTGCATGATTCCACTTACATGAGGCCCCTAGACTAGTCAAAATCATAGAGACAAAAAGCAGAATAGGGGTTGCTGGACTGTGGGAGGGGGAATGGGGAGTTAGTGTTTAATGGGGACAGAGTTTCCATTTTACAAGATGAAAAGAGTTCTGGAGGTGGATGGGATGATGGCTGCCCAACGGTGTTCCATGGACACATGGAACTGCACTCCTGAAATGGTCACTGCGGGATGTCTCTACTCGAAGCTCCCGTTCACCTCCTCTCTCTCAAGGCCACTCCCGTTGGGCATGAGACCAGCATCCCAGCAGGACTGACCTTGTCAAGGTCACCATGACCTCCACAAGGCCAACTCCTCCTCTCACTCAACTTCTCAGTAGCACTTGGTGCCACAAGTCGACCCCTTGCTCCTCGAGACCAGGTCTGCACTCGGCATCCCCAGCATCACACCCTCCTTGTTTTCTTCTCTCTCATCAACTGCTCTGCTCAGCCCCCCTGGCTGGGTCCCCCTCACCTCCCTGACTGCTGGACATTACAGGGTACAAGTCCTTGGATATCTTCTTTCTTCTCTCTACACTTGCTCGCTTGGGGATGTCATCTTGTCTCATGCTATCTACATGTTGTTGAATCGATTGATTGATCGATTAATCAATAGATGACAGATACAGAGATGCAGCTTCAGCCCCTAAGAATCTCCTTCACTACACACTCAACCATGTATAAAATATTTCCACTAGATGCCCCACATGCATCTCAAATTTAACATGTAAAAAGCCAAATTCGGGGCACCTGGGTGGCTTAGTCGGTTAAGCATCCGACTCTTGATCTCAGTTCAGGTCTTGAACTCAGGGTCGTGAGTTCAAGCCCCTCACTGCGCTCCATGCTGGGTGTGGAGCCTACTTAAAAAAGCAAAATAAATTCATGTCCTTATTACAAAACCGGCCCCTTCCCCAATCTACTCCTATCTCAGTTAATGATACCTTCATTCTTCCAGGTACTCAATAAAGAATTTTATAATCACCCTGGATTCTTCTGCTTCTGTCACACCTCATATTCAATTCATCAGCAGACCTTGCCTTTTTGACTTCAAATATATCCAGATTCTAAACATTCTCACCACTTCCGGCACTGCCGCTCTGGTCCAAGCTACTCTCGGCTCTCACCTGGATTATTACTAATGTGGTGTGGCCTCTGATTAACCTCCTTGCTTCTGCCCTTTCTTCTGTTAGTGGATTCTCAATATAGCGGCCAGAAAATCTCTTTTTAGCATAAATCAGGTCTAGTCACCCCTCTACTCAAAGCCTTGCAGTGACTTCCCATCTGACTCTGAGTGAAAGCAAATGTCCTTATAATGGCCCAGGAGGCCATTCACAACCTGACTTGCTGCTTCTCTAATTTCATCTCTGACTCCTGTTCCCTCTGCTAATTCCCTTGCCCTTCACTGGCCTGACACTGACCTGCCCAGAACCAGATGATGAACTGCTGGGAATGTTTTCATACTTGATGTGGAGGCAGGATCCAAAGACAATTGGACTTTTCTCAGGGGGGATACCTTACACGGCTTCAGTGAGGGGAAGCCACTGGGTCCCACAACAATTTGATGGCCAAGCTCATTGTTGGGAGCTGACATTAGTAGGAATGATACCTGGCTCCCAGGAGTATCTGGGATGCTGGGCTATGAATGGGCCATTGCTTCATTTGTACAGATGGAAAGAGATTTTCTCAGGGATATAATTTTCATGCTCTTTCTCTGTCATACAGTTGCATGAGACCGGAGGTGGGTAAGTTTTGTTGGGATAGGAGTATGTCACTGCAGAGTGGAGGCTCTTCTCATAACTGTAAAGTCAGCCACAGGCTTTTCTGATGACAGATGTGGACCTTGGAGCTGGATGATGACCTTCTAGAAGAAAAGCGGTTACCTTCCCTGGTTCCTGGAGGCTACAGGTACCATGTTAACAATGAGTCACGTTCATGGGCACCATGAACAGCTTGCCCAGTGTTGGGCAACTTTGTCCTTTGATTTACAGATTGAATTGTGGCAACCTAGCTTGCTTTTGTGTATGTAGTGTTTTTAAGTGGGCTTGTGTACCGGATGCTTCTGTCACTCCACCCTGTGTGTCCTCTGCCCACCTCTGAGTTCACCTGCTGTGTTGTGCTAGACAGGCTGCAGTCGCTGGCAGCTTCACTGGCCATGTGTCTCTGCTCCTCTGCTTTAGGGTTTTGGCATTTTGGGGATTGCTCTGCTGTAGCACAGGGAAACCTGACAGAGTAGGGGATTTAGCACCCCGGGAACAACCCTCAACCAAGGAAGAATGGGGGTCAGTGTATGAATGCCCTGGATTCTGTCCCAAGGTAGAACGACCTTTTGGTACATTTTACACAGGTTCTCATGAGGTTCTTGGTGGAATTTGAGCCCAGTTACCCATGGGATTAGCTCATTCTTTATTGGCTTGTCTTCCTCCCTGTTCCACTCTCCCCATTCTCTCAGTTGTGTTTTCTGGGATTACTTTCCAAATAAACTCCCTGCAACCACCATCTTGTCTCTATTCTTTTGGAAACGCAAATTAAGGCAACCTGGCATGTGGACACAGGATAGAGTCAAAAACTGTCACTCACTGAACATTTGCTGTTTTAGATCCTTCGCTGACTTCTATACAGACATCAACTCAAATTCTCCACCTTCCAGATGATGAACCAAGGCATCAAAAGATTTAGTAACCCCCCAGGGTTTCCCACGCCAACTCCTTCCTCATGAGAAAACATCCCTTCCGACTTACTGACACTAGAGAGAGGCAATCTGATGTGAGCTTTCCTGACTTCCTCCCTCACCATCTTTCTGTCTGAGCCACTCATTTGTTCTTCCTCCCACATGGTTTAGGAGGTGAAGCTTCTACAAAGGCAGTAGCATGAGGCTTGGGGTTGGAAGTAGGTGGTCCTGGGTTCCAATTGTGACTCTTCCCCTTATTAGTGTCTGACCCTGGCCAGGTCTCTTTTTGTTTCTGGGCTTCAAGTCCCTCATCTATAAAGTGGGAGTAATCATGTCTTAAAACTGCGATGATTGGATAATATTTTACTAAATGCTGTACTTCCAACCTGTATAGGGGCTGTTTCTGAGGAAGAATGCAATCCATATCATGTACTTTTCATGATAATGAGTTTCACTCTTTACTCCATCAATCAGTTTCTTTCTTGTGTCTTTATTCTCTCCCTCCTCTCCCACTCAATTGCTTCTTTTCTCACATTTACTAATATGCTCACGTCTCCTCTTTCACTCCCTCCCACAACTGGTAACAGACTGCTTGTCACTCCATGTTGTCAATGAAGCAAACATCACTCTGCCCCATGATCATTGAAATGTCTATTTATTAATAAGTGGTGCAGTATTTGTTTTAAGATAGAACATAAAAAATCAGGTAAGAAGTGTTTGCATAATATATATGGAAATCAACCTAGTAAAGTTGTTCAAATATTGGACAGAGCCAGAATAGAAATTACACATACAGTTTAAAAATTACAGGAAATCATACTATAAAGAGCACTAAAGGCCACTTGTGGAATAGTCGTGTTCCCGTGTAAGCCAGAATGTGAAGAAAGCCTACTTGTAGCATGGAGACAAATTCAGGGAGCAAGGCACCAGAATTCTATGCCGTTAAAGGGGGTTAAAGAAAATACAATCCCAAATCAAATACAATGGATTCTTGTCACTGGAAACCTCAATCTGCTCTGCAGAGATTGGTGTTTTCCATCACTGCTACATTAGGAAAAAAGAAAAAAAGAAAAAGAAGAATAGCCATATCCCATTGAAAGAAATGTAGAGAGCATTTTTCTCTTTAAAATAGGAAATGATTGACAGATCTGATGAAGTAGGCCCATCTTTCTAAGGTGATTTTTAAGATGGGGCAGAGCCTGCCTTCTGTCTCCAACAGTAAGATCTCTGATGCTTGGAACATGGCTGCCACCAATCTTGGACGTAGTCCTCCCCACGTGCATTCTTAACCCTCCCAGGAACATGGAAGGTGGAGCTGCTCTCCCTTCCCTTGGAAAAGTGTTCAGAGGGGAAATGGGGCCTAATTACCAGATCAGGTTGACTTCTCACTGGGGAACTGTTATATTTTTAATATTGAGTAAGAGAAACACAACTGTTGTGAGCTTTTGGCCTCCTAAAGAATGTTTCTGCAGACTCACCAATCTCTGCAGAATTTCCAAGGTCTGAAATAAGGGTCCAGCCTCAGGACAGAAGACCAAAGTCAGGAAGACATTTGAATTTGTTTGGATAAATCAATGACAGGAGATCCTCGGGGTGGGGGGTGGGGGTGCAGGGCAGAGAACAAGGGGCGTTTGTGGGATTATCTGCAGCCACGCCAAACTCCAAGAACTAATGGATTCCACTATGAACAAAGTGAAAAATTTATGCAGCATTATTTTCTGCCACTGACAGCTGAATTGTGAACCTACTCAAAGGAACAGGTAGGACCCACTGATTAGCTGAGTGGAGCAGCTGACATTGGTTCTCTCCGGGGAACCGATGGGTCTGACTGTTTTACTATAAAGTCCACTGGGCATAGGAGGGCAAGGTATGGGGGACGACTAGAGGGCATGATGTGGGAGCATTTCCACTGGCCTGGGAGATGAGATAGGTGAATAATCTTTGAAGGTGTATGAGCTTTGGTTACAATCGCAGCTCTACTTCTATAGTGTGTGGCCTTTGGCAAGGCATTTCCCCCCTCAGGTTCAGTTTCTTCAACTCTACGATGGAGACATTAACACCGCCCACAAGGGGTTGTGGTGAGGACCATGGGAAGTCCAAGAGAGAGAACCATCACATCACATGCAACTCACAAAGACAGCTTAGGGTAAGTTTCTCTCTCCTTCCCGGACCCGTCTTGTGGGCAGAGTGAGACATTGGAAGAAAACATGTTCCCATTTTTCACTCCTCTCAGGCATCAGGTTGTAGTCAATTTGACACATCTAAGAGGAATTACACATATATTCCTAAGCACTAGGCCAGGCTTTTGACTGCTTAATTACAAGTTACACTCAGGTTATTCTTATATAGAGCCCATGTTTGACTTATTTCCCCAGAATGGGGCTATTTAGAGGCTAAGAAGACAGGTAGACTGGTAGTCTAAAATTACTGCCACCTTTCTGACTTTGCCTTAGGAGTTTCTGGTTCAGTCTGATTCAGAAGACCTGAACATCCTTCTAGGAGTTTAGCAAGGGCTATTGGGGAGCCTTGCCAAATTCTAGCAAATTTGTCCCAAGCACAGCACAGCGTAAGTGGAAACCATGTTAATTCTCATTTGAGCCAACAGGGAGGCCAGTTTACTTTCTAAAATAATTTCCCAGTTACACAAGATGTCTTAAGTTGAATCCTGTCTGCTTTTCTGTAGTTTTAGGTGACAAGCCAAGAGTACCAGTTGTGACCCAGCAAAGATGGGCATTCTCTTGGACAAAGCAGGAGAAACAAGGCATGAGACCCAGGGATCCCACCGTGAATGGACACCTTAGTAGAACTAATGCCTTGGGGTCATATTGATCCCCAAAGAAATCACATCCTATTTTCTAAAATCAAACCCACTAACTTTTTTTTCAAGGCAAAATCCTGCAAAAGGATTGGCTTATAGATGAGGATACCACCTGAGGCATGGCTCTGGAGCTGAATGAGTTTAAGTGATTGGGCCAAATTGCTGAACCAGTCCAGGCTTGGTGGGACAAGGAGGGGACAAAGTAGCAGAGGTCAGAGAAGTGGAGGGGAATGCCTGCATGGCCATGAGGTTGTTCTTCATTCCTTTTTTCACCTGCACAGGGAAGCAGTGGTTTGTGCCAGGCCTTTGGAGGTCAGCAGGATTTGGGGAGAAGGAACATTGCCTTTAAAGGCATGAGATCAATCATATTCCAGAAATGTGTCTGGTTTAGCAGTTTCTCTAGTGGGCCAGGAAGTTCTCCATCTCCTGGGCCAACCCACAATGTTTTCTTCTCAGTTGCTATGTGACTGTCAGTTTTTGATCTCCAATATCTGGACCAGGAGTTAGGAGACCTGGGTTCTTGAGTCACTCTGCCACCCAATCACCCCTTCAGCCACTGGGCGACTAGTGTGATTCCCTTTATGCTGAACCTCTGCTTCCTGATCTAAGAAGAGAGGTGGTTGTTCTTGGTGATCAAGGTTTGTTCTTGCTCTGAGCATCTAGGAATCTATAAAACTGTATCTCCCTGCATCTGTGACAATGAAGCAAGCCACTAGTCACAATTTTCCTACAGGGATAACAAAGCTGAGGTTGTTAGAAGCTGGGAACAAATTCCCCTGGGGAGAGTTTGAGCGAGCTTGAACTCTTTCTTCTGGAAGTTCTCCATTCATTGCTAGGGTGTTGTCTGACAGACATCGTGGCATGCTAACTTTGCTCATCGCAACCACTAGTTCCTTCATATTTAATGGTTCCTGCTACTTGACTTCGCCTCCTACAGATCATCCTTTGAGAGAATGGTGCAACATGCAGTATTGTGGGTCCAGTGGAACTGCCACAACCCAGCCAGTGCAATCCAACAGTCCTGCCACCTTCATTCCAACATTCCTGCCATTCCTTGTTTCATTTATAGAGATGTACTTTTTGAGAAAAAGCCCCCATAAAAGTGCCTGAATCGGTATGGCATTTCCACTACTCTTTTTCCAAGAAAAAGATTTTCTGGGGGTAAATTTGGAGTTCATAAGTAATACTGAGGACTGAGGCAGTGGACTCCACACACAGTATTAAAAAAGGATACGTGTGACAGTCTCCAGCCACCACTGTACTGGGGTCTTTACATATACCAATTGTTCCATTTGAAAATCAAAACAGACCAAGAAAGTCAAACACTTGTGAGAGTCCTAAAACTCAAATTTTCATCCAGGTCATATCTATATCCTTCCTATCTCTGAGATTCCTACTGCTGGTTTCCCAAACCACTAAAGCTATGGAGATAGCCTGGTCCCTAGCATGTTCTCACCTGGGCATCAGGTTAGGGGACTTGTTGAGGGGACTGTTGGCTCAGTTTTGAATAGCGTAACGGAATGTTGGATGATTTGGATACAAAGAAAGGACTTCTAGTCTTTTAAAATTTAATTTAAAATTTAAAATTTTAATTAAATTTAATTAAAATTAAAATTTAAAAATTTCATTCCCAAATAAGTGAGCCTTCAAGGATGAGTGAGGCCATGAGGCAAATTCCTAAGAATGCCTGAGGTTCAGAAAGCAAAGAAAATCCGTATGGTCCTAAGTGCCTTGGGAGCATATTCACAGAAAACAAAGGCCAGCTGTGTGGCATCTTCTGGGGGAAGCCAGGGGTGTGCTTGTCAGTACTGACCAAAGTGCAGTTAACTTCTTAGACCACTGAACACATTTCTTCTCTTGCTCCAGGAGAATTTTATTAGCAGTGTCCCACAGGCAGAGTGACACCTTTCTCTTGAAATAGATGTGTCTTGGCTTGTACCATAAGCGTCTCTTGGTCAACACAATGAAATGGAAGTAGCCCAGCTTCTTGTCTGGACTCAATCATTATAGGGATTTGGAGAGGAGGAGAAAGCTAGTTTTTTTCCCAAGAACCTTCTCAGATACTCTAGAAACTCCTTTGTACACAGTGTATTTGGAGCTCTAAAGCCCAAAGCATTGAACCCAAACTCAAAGTCCTCATTCAACAACTCAGTCTTTCCTGCGCTGATGGGGTCATTACCATTTTGATGGAGAATTCTTTCTCTCACTTTTCTCCATGCTCAATCTCCCATTGATTCTAAGTGAGGAAGAGCTCCTATCTGTAGAGTTGTCTTCAGGGATAAAATCAGATACTTTCCATTCCTGGTAGACATAGTTTGAAGGGACCTCCAATATTTGAGGCCTCCAGATTCCTAGCTTTTTGGTGGCAGGAACTGTGGTTTTCTTAACTCTGAATTTCCAGGATGTTACACAGTGCCTAGCAGACAGTGGTGCTTAGTAAATCTTGTAAACAAGCAAATGAATGTTTTTATTACATTCTCAGTAGAGTGGTATGGATTTAGAAGAATGGTCTTATAAATTCTGAGTAGATCCTATTGTATTAGGATTTCCTACAAGTAATTATTCTTTCAACTTACAGTGTCTAGGAACTGCCCTGCACAAAACAGGCAAGGCATAATGCAGTCATTATTGACAAATAAACTCATCTTGAACTATGGTATATCTTGAGGGTTTTCTAGATGCCTTTATTGAAATTAAAGCTTCATTATATCATTGTTATATCTACTAAGTCCAAGCTTTCAGTTCCCAGAAAAAGTATAGTCAGTGAATAGAACTTTCTCATTTTGATGGTTTTTTTTCTTTTCCTCCCAGAGTTCTTTTTCTTAAACTTTTCATGTTTGCTGTGTGCTAGTGTTTTACTGTCAAAATGCACCCTTGATCTCAAGTACTTTCTTCTCAGCCCGACACGATCACCTCTCACCTAACATTTGGAAGATAGCTTTATCTCATTCATTTTGATCCTCCTAAAAAATGACCCCTTAAAGTTCTCCTATATCATATTGTGACACACAGAGACAGAACACCTATAATGGGCTTACACTTCCACCTGAGGAAATCATTCCTAGTTTTTACAATGGAATTAATTTGTCACGATTTCATGGGATTCTGCTAAAACTACTGTAGTTTCCTCGGCTAGCTTCAGGACCACTGGTATACCTGAAGTAGGATGATCTTGGGCCACATTATTAACCAGTTCTGTTGGATTTTTCCATCATGTTGTTCTTTCGTCCGACAGAAAGATCTTTGTGGAGGCACATGTTGTTTTTCCCCATAACTTAAGTTCAATCCCACACCTTGAATTCCTGCTTCATCAGTGCCAGCCAGGTGATGATGTTGTCTGTGAGCAGGCAACTTGAACAGTTTTGGCTTGCTTTTCTGGAATGGCCTTTTTTTTTTTTTTTTCCTTTTAAAGGGGTATCAAAGCAGAATATTCCAGAAGGTCATTTTTCTCTTTTTTCTTAGATGGGAAAGAAAAGCTCTTAAAAAGTCTTATCATTTAGTTATTCATGATCATGTATTTTGTCTTTGTCTGCATTGATAATGGCAGCTTACTACATGTTGGAGACATGATGGTAATTGACATAAACCCAGTCAATCCCTGTCATCCTGGCCTTATGATCCAGCAGGGGAGGCTAGACTGCCCTCCTATGGTTTAAGAAATAATACAAGCTCTTATCCTTTGTAGGTTTTTCAAAGAACCTAAGGCAGTCCTCTAACTTTCGATCCGTGGTAACTATTTTTAGCTTGAGGATGAGAAAGTCTCACTTGTCCACCTGAGAACTCCACTGAGTTCCTGGCAAATGCATCTGTTGGTAAGATACTGAGGCCAGTCAGTTCTGCAAGAATATTAATAAGGTAGGTAAAAATAATTGGTGCATATGTGGAGAGTTTGATTCATTCTCCATTTTTTTTTTGTCTCAAATAACTCACGTACATAAAGAAAACATAGTAACATATTAGATGATAGGTAGCTCAATCACTTGTAGTAAAAGATTCTAGGCGGGTCAGAAGCAAGAATCAAGCCCTAAGGAAGCGGCATAGGATTTCTTAGGTCATTAACTCCAATGGCACTTTCATGCATATGATCCATTCCGTTTGCCCTTCAGATTGCAAGAAGGTCAAATGGCAAACCATAGGGGAGGAGGGTTCAGGTCTGAATTGTGTGATCATTCTTGTGTATTTCCCACCTTAGACTTCAATGCCAACACCTCTCTATTTGTGAGATTCTCCATGTAAAATGCCATCTACCTCTCACGATGCTTGCCCTGGGCCAGAGACGGCAGGCTTTGGTTGTGCATTTCTAAAGTCAGGGACCACACCTTCAATACTATTGTACTCTGAGCCTTTTGCACAGTACCTGTTGACTTGTGGGTTGAAAGGAACCAAGATCTGAGAAACTAGTTCTTCGCTCCAACAAAGTATAAGGTTCCTGCATCACGTCATGATGAAACCACAAACCAGATGTCTGTCCCAGCTACCACTGCTTGACAAGACTGTGAGGAGAACATCAGCGGCATTTGTGTGTAGACTGTTAGGCCCTTTTGATCATCTTGATGGTCACCATGGCGACCGTCCACAACCAGTGCTTAGATGTGGGATAAGAACAAGACAGTGATAGTGTGGTGCTGTAATTTAGCTAATCTGGCCCAAGCCTAACAGAAACCTTTTCCATCAAAGTGTTTCAGAAAGTAGCGACACCTCAAAAGAGGCCAGAGGATGGCTTGTGCTTAATATTAATACTTATTCACTAGGGCAGTGCTCTCCAGGGGCTCTGCTTACACTTGGGTTAATCTTATGGCTACGTGTGGTTTAAAAAATCTGGAGGAGTAAAACTGGATGGTTCTGAAAATTTTTCCCATTTGCATATTAATAAATGTTGAAGCTTGCTTGCTTGAAGTGCTTGTTTTATTCCCCTAGATCCAAAATGCAATGCATCAAGCAAGCATGTTTTGCAGTAAAAGCAAACAGCCCCCTCCTGCTGGATAAATTGTGTACAACAGAGTCCAGGTATCTTGGCACAATTTTTAGGTCCCACTCTATAAAGGGCAGAGTGGTGTAGTAGGAGGAGACCAGGGCATGGAGCGAGTCAGCTGACTGGGTCCCAGCTCTCCAGGGGACGATGATGTGACCCCAGGCTTGTCTCTACCTGAGCCAAAGGTTTCTCATTTTTACAAAGGAGAACTTGGACCAGATAATTTCTGGTTTCTAATTTTCATTTGAGATGGATATTTTGTACAAATACCATGGGGAAGAATGTGAGTTGAAACGTCATCTTGAAGGCACTGATCTTAGCTCCTGCCCAGAGGGGTACCCTACTTCTGATAAATTTCATTATCTTTGGCTACATAAATTGGAAACTATTTGAAGTTGTGTATTTTCTCCCCTCCAAGTCATAACTCCCTCGAAATGCTACACTTGGGATTACCAGGGATGAGGGAACAGGCAGGACACAGATAATGGCAGACCAAGTGAGGTCCCCTCGAGAGCTTTTAGATGGTTTTGAGAGTTTTTCCCGAAAAAAAAAAAAAATTCAAAAAAATTCGTGGTTTTGGATAGGTGATGACCGTCTGTTCCTTTCCTAGTGTTTTAGCTCAGTTGACCACCTCTTTGATATGTAATGCATTTTTGTTCACAAACTATTTGCTTACTCTAGAATAATTACTGGTCTTTTTTACACAAAGGGGCAGTGGTTTGAGAAAGAACTTAAACTACATTCCCTGCTTACCAAACCAAAACCCAAAGCAGCCAACCAAACGGACAGATAGCACAGCTCATCAATAATTTCTCCCCGTCCTGGTCCAATCATGATTTAAAGTAAGAACAGCAGATAAGTGTGTATCCTAGAAGAGATTAGCGGTACCATTTATATATTGTAAAGTCATGCAAACCATGCTTAAAAGGAAGCGGCTTCACTGTGGTGACCTGGGGAGGAGGAAGGCCATGAAAAGCCCCTGCCCGGGTGGGGGGCCGCCACACACATGCATGTGTTTGATGTAGCCACTGGTGATCTCACGGTCAAGTGTCAGGTGTGAGAGCAAGTGAGCTATACAAAGTCTGTCTACATTACAAGGAGGACTCAGCCACGACCCCTTCTAAATGGGCTTGTTGGGAGGGGTCCATACTGAATCAGAAATCCCGTCCCCTGTGGATGACAGAGGTATGGAGCCACTGGGGGTGAAGGGGTCCGTATCCGTGTCTGTCTCACCCTCGGCGAGGTAACGTTTCTCCCTCATCCAGCTCGACCCCCCACTCGGGCCAAACACGTAATCGTCTCTGTCTTGGGAGATGCTGAAGCCACTTGGAGACCGCTCCAGCTCCTCATGATTGACCGACATCAGGGACAGAGGCGTGTCACTGTCCCGCGTGATGCTCCGTCTCTGACGGGGGGAGACCCGGTCCGAGCAGGGGCCGTGCAGGTCAGCCTGGGAGTGGTAGCTCACTCGGGAGTCGAGAAGAGTCAAGATCGGCAGGACGGTGGGCCTTTCCGCATATGTCGCTGCTGAGGTGGAAAGCGTTGCTTGAGCCTTTCCAGAACTGGGTCCTCCTCGGGGCAGGTTCACTGGGTCGTGGGCAAAAAACCCATAGGGGCCGACTTTGTCGAGGGGCAGCTGGTGGAAGCTGTAAGGGGCCTCGGGGGGGCCCGTCTCGGAATAGTTGCAGATGATGGTTTTTAGATCCGAATCTCTGTTGTCCTCTAGCTTCTCCACGTCTGCGGGTGAGGAGGTCCCCTTGGTCGGGTAGTATTCCGTGACGTGCACCTGCAGCCTTTCCATGTGCTGCAGGTGCATATCCACCAGGAAGTCCAGTTTCTTCCCCATGTCGTGAACCTGGGAGATACAAGGAAGTGGGCATCACTGCTTTTCCAGGGTGGCGGTGGCTCTTTCCACTCCGGAGGAAATACCACTGGAAAGCAGGAGGGTTCCTGCAAATCATCATCTTAACAACAACGGATTATTTCACGCGTCCTAACTTGGAGCCTCGCACATGGATTCGTGCTAATGTAGAAACAGCCTGGCAAAAGGGCTTTCTGGGAAGCGGAAGTTGGGACCCGGGAAGGGGTCTAAAGACAAGTGGTACCCCAGGAGGAGGTGGCTTTGCTGCTGCCATTTGGGAGTTCTTAATTTGCAAATAGTCGCTTACACAGAAGCCTGTGGGTGGTTAGTGTCCGTCCCTCCCACGGGCTGTGTAAGCCTCCTGGACACAAGGGCAGAGGGGAGCAGGAACTGTGCCTCTTAGAACTGGAGGTCCTACCTAGGGGCCCTGGAGTGGGAGCTGCACTTGGGTAAGCAGGATCTGCTCCAACCTGCAAAACCTGGGAGCTGACTTAATCTTTGTGAGCGCCTACACACAAGTGCGTGTGCATGTGTGTGTGTGCGCACGAGTGCGTGTGTGGTGTTCCCTCCACGACAATTCACAGCTCCCCAGAAGGCACTGCAGGCAGGGAGAGCACCTCCTCTTCTAGGTCAGGCCAGGTAGCACAGTACCACGTAGAGGTTGAAACAGTATTCAAGCCTGAACAGTAACTACTACTTAAGAGCACTTAGTAAGTACCTGGCTCTGCTTGATGTCCCTTAAAGACGTTGACTCATTTCATTGCCCACTAGCCCTGGGAGATGAAGACTATGATTATCTCTCTTTTGCAGGTGAGGAAACCGAGGCAGAGAGAGAAAATGGTTTGTCAAAGGTTACAGAGCTGGGAAATGGAAGGGCTGAGATTACAAATTAAAATTTAAAAATGAAAAAGGATATTCTTGATATGCCAAGAAAGAGCAATCCTTCAAATTTCCTCTTGCCTCTCTCGCACAGACCAATGTGGGGTCATGAATAAAATAAGAGGCCTGGTAGGGATCCTCGTGGAAACTGACGGAGCCATCCGTCCGGTGCACAGCGGAATGGGCTCTGCTCTCACAGAAGCCCCTTCAACGGAGGAAGTGACACGTGAGCTCCATGGGGTGCTGGGTGGGAACGGCTTCTCTTTCTGCCCTGACCGAAGCCACCCAGAGCCTGCCCTGCTCCAGGCCCCTTCGTGTGGGCCACCCACTGACCTGGACTCTGAGGCATGGAGGACTAGGGACACAGAAAGTGTGGCGAAGGAGACTAACATTTCTTCAGGGAGCAGCACCTCGAGGTACGTGCGAAGAGCAGCTATATCTATCGAGTGTCTGTTGTGTGTCAGAAGCTATTCCACACGATTCACGGGTGCCAACTCATTCAATCCTCATAGCCACCTTTTGAGGTATTCGAATCCCTATTTTACAGATGAGGACACTGAGGCTCAGGACAATGAATGAACTTGCATGTGGTCGCAAGTACGTGCTAACTCGGGATGTAATTTCCACATCCTTTTTCTGAGTGGTAGAGACTCAACTCTGTTATCTCCCTAGGGGGAAAAAAATGACATTTGAACGCAAATGTTCTATGGCTTGTTTTTTCGGTGAGGGAAAGGAGAGACCTACCTGTCTTTCGACTTTCACGAACTTCCCCATCATGCTTTGGTCTTCAGTTTCAGATGTGGATGCTCTGGCTACATATGGTTCATTCCTAGGAAAGAGCCAGTGAGTCTGTAAGATCGTCGTACCTATTTGTGCTTCGTCAGGCTGTCTCAGCGGAGGGGGCCATGGTCCCTGGATCTATCATCCCCATGCTCACGCTTACGCGGTCTGGAAGAGGCCCACTCAGCTCTGGAGGCACGAGCAAGTCAGGAAAGGGTAGTGTTCTCCTGCCTTCAGCACTGGGGTCTTACTTACTCTTCTCTGCAGCAATAGTTGAAGCCAAATATTAAGGTGTTTTTAGGAGGCTTTGGGCCAAAGTTAATAAAGCACCTCGCTGTGTCTAGAGGGTTCAGGGCCTTTAAATCACATTCCTTAGACTGCTTCTTAGAGAGAAGAAGAAGAGAGAGAGAGCTTTTACTCTGTGTGGGGGTAGGCTGGGCGGGGCTGGGGGTTGGCTAATCTCTGAAATTCTGTAAGGTGGGTATATCTCATCTGTTTCATTTGGTTAAGGCAGGGAAATAGATGCAGGATCTGGAAAATGGTGCAAAAGAGGTTGCTGGTGGGGAATGGGATTGAGATGGTTCCTTGGTGGTGCAGGTTATGTTCAAAGTAGAAGAGAACCTGCAGGGAGCCTGGCTATTGCTCAAAACCATCGTGTCAGGCACTTTGGGGGTAGTTGGTTTTCTCTTTCAGAGCGTCCTGACTCCTGCTCCGTCCCTGGCCTGTCTCCGGCTGAGCGCTCTTGAATTAAAGCAGACATGAACCGTGCACTCATTCCAGCCCACCAGTGCTTTCCTTAGCTTGCACAGTTTTAAAAACATTTCAAAAATAAGGAATTTCATATGACATCTGGATATTCAGTTTTTCTTGAAAAAGTAGACTCTCTGGAACCAGAGGATATCAATTCCTAAAATTAGCAGCAGCAGAGCAGAGGGACGATGATCTCCTTTAGTTGGCACACATGGCCTCCAGGACCCCCAGGGTCCACCACTCCTATTCCATCCCCCGTACTGAGGCTGAAGGTCAGATGCCTTCACATCATCCCACTTATGCCCTTGCTTCGTTTATAGTACGCAACCTTATCGCTATAAGGTTCGTGGGAGTGCTTTCTTAAGCCTGACTCCTTTACTCATCCACGCTCCCTGCCCTGAAGACCTCTGGGAATAAAGAAGGTATAAATTTGGGCAGTGGACTTTCTCCAGGACTGCTCCTGGTTCATCGGGGCCTGCACAAGGAACATTTCCAAACACTATGTGGGGAGAGCAAGACTGCCCCGGTGAGGGACAGAGTTCTCTGCCTGTGACCAGGCTGCCGGAGGCCTGACACCTGATTTCCTTCCCTGTGAGGGGGTTCGGACAGTGCAGAGCTAATGATGCAGGAAAGGCCAAATGGCCTCAACTCTGCTCACACGAGTTATTCTCTATGTTCCAATAAACTCATGGGGCTCCTCTTCTTTTATAACACGTTGAGGGTTATGTTTATTTTCAGTAACCACAATAGGAGTGTCACTCGCATGGTCTGGGAAGAGGGGCAGTAAGTCTTTAGTACAGAAACCTTGCAAATATTCCCAAACTGGAATAATCTTCAAGCTCTTTTCTTCATTTTATTGAGAAGAATGGCAACCTCCCCCCACCCTCCCACCCTGCCGCCCCCAACCATAACGGAAGCGAGCTGAGATATGGGAATAGGGACGGGCCATGCAGCCTCATTCCACGTCCCCACGCCTCACCTGGGAGACTGCTGGGATGGGTAGGTGAACGCTGCCCCTCTCTGAGACTTCTTATGTTTTGGGGTAGATGGAGGTCCAGGGGTGAAAATCATGTCTATTCTGAAAGAGACACACAAGGAGGGGATTACATTACAAAGAGCTTTACAGGTAAAGAGACGAGAGCAATTCCTTCTCTTCTCTCTTTAGCCAGGCAGGGTTTGAAATAATATAAGAGAAGGGAAAGGGGGGTGGGGAGAGGAGGAGGGAGAAAGAGGGAGTGAAGGAGACAGAGAATTTATAATCTCCATATATTATTATTATTATTATTATTATTATTATTATTATTATTGTGCAGTAGTAACGAGCATATCTCCCCATCCCAGGGGAGAGAGGCAGCTAAACCAGAGACAGGATGAGGGTCACATCTTGTTGGTTCTTATAGGAAATGTCACATGTGCCGCAAGCCTATCTGGTGTTCCAGCATTTTTATTCTTTCCCCAAACATCTAATTAGGCAGTTTTCTTGTACAACCCAAGTCTTCCTTTCAGCTGTGCAGATCTCTGCTGCTCTTCAGGCTTGCTGGCCATTGAGGGGATGGCTCCGCACCCACTCCTGCACCTTGCTTCCATTTCTGCATGAGGCGCCAGCTCGCCATCCATTTTGCCCTGAGCACAACCGGAGACAGATGTCCCCACTGCTCTGCAGGACTGGGCGGGGTGAGGGGCAACCTTGAAGGCTCATTACAGGCCCAGGACCACTAAGACCATGCACTCAAAAGTAGCCATGGGTCACTCTGTTTCTCTGCAGACCTGGTTGTTCCTCCACTAACACCACCATATATTCAATCACCCTTCCTTTCTCTCGGGCCCACCACCCTATCAGCGTGGCTGGGGATATGCAATTCGCTATCCAGGTGGTCAACCTCCAGCCATGACTCTTTGAAATACATGTGCCTAATAAACACTGAAAGCAACGACAGCAGGAAGGTCCACTTTGCGAGCATTAAGATGGGCCAATAATTTTGATCGAGTATGTCCTAGACATCACGCTCCCTCCACTGCTAAGAGAGCCATATTTGCATCAATAACAGCATGTTAGGCTCAGAACTCATTTGCACATCCATTTGTGAAGCTGGCTTTGAACACCGACTGTGTGCCTGCCACTATGCTCGGCTGCAGTTGATATTCCATTTATGGATAAGTCAAGGTCACAAATAAGTGTTCCTCCGACCCAACATCATGGTTAACTTCCTACTCATTCAATCTGATGGTCCTGTTCACTCTGCAGGACACCCCGGCAGGGAAACATGATTCAGAGGAGGAAACCAAGGTCCAGATAGGACTTGACTTGTGTCCACTTGAAATCTCACACAGGCCAGAGGATGAACCCCATGTAGGGCTGTGGTTTTCCGATGTCAGTTCTGTGTCTTGACCCCATATTGCCCTTTGGTTTTTTAAAATGGTTTTTTGTTTTAAAAGGAAATTTTTACAATTCATTAAAGATTTGATCAATTTCCATATTTTCACTGTTATAAATAATACCCGATGAACATTTTTTTAATATGGTGAAAAATTTATATTTAGAATCGGATATTTGGACTCAGTTGATCATCAGCTCTATCTGATTGGCAACATTCAAAGCATCATAGTCAGGGGCTAGTCAAACATATGTCTTTTCTCCATGAGGACTGATCAAGGTGTTGACCTTGGCTAAGGTCAATGTCATAGAGCTTCTTCACAGCCTGTTTGTTGCCTGTTGGCCTTCACAGCCACAATGCTTGATGAACATTTTTGTTCTTAAACTTGCTCCCCAGCACTCTGGACCATTTCTGAATGGCTTTCACCCTGAACTCTAGCTAGATTCCTCAAGCTTCAGTTCCTTCGTGGTCAGGAGAGCAGAGTTCCTCCAGATGCAACTGTCTTACCTGGTCTGAAGGTACTTTATCCTGGAAAGCATGTCGAGATGTCCTGCAGAATACTGCTCAATCACATCCTTCACGTCGTAAGGCCTCAAAGTCTCCTTAAATTTTTTTTTATAGAGACGGAATTGTAGAATTCTGCAAGGCGAAGTAAAGACATGTGTGCTTCATGAGTAGAGAGTAAAGGAAGCCTATTCAAGCCTAGCAAACTCAGAAGCAGGCAGAGCAAAGAACCAAAGAGAAAATGACTTGATGGGGGAGGGGAAGTTTCAACCCGTGGTCCTGGTTCCACCCCTCCGAACCACACAGAGTTAGGCTGGTTGGTACCTCTTCTTCATGACTCCCTCCCTTCAATCATTTGAATACTAATAAAATCATAGTAACAATAAGAGCTAATACTTATTGGGCATTCACTTCAGGTCAGACATGGAGCTAAGTGCTTTATGAACAATCCGCTAACAGATCAACTTGTAGATGATAAGACTGTGGCCCAGAGAGCTCCAGATCTTCCCAGGGCCACCTGGCTAATAATGTCAGAGCTGTCCTCAAACCCAGGTTTGTATGCTGACAAGGCCCACGCTCTTAATCACTGTGTCACACTGCTTTCTATTTGAGGACAGCTGACATAGTTCTTCCTCAACAGACTCTTTAATTATTTGGCTTGTGAGTGCCTAGAAAAGAGAAACTAGCTTCTGTTCCCTGAGTTTTCTCAGCTTCTTAATAAAGGGGGGTACCCAGAACTCATAGATGCCAAAGCCTCGCCTCCATCTTCCTGGTAATCAATAAAGGCACCCAGATGGCTAATATTCCTTGAAAACCCCATCACGGGGTCAACCCCCATTGAGCATGGTGTCAGTTAAAATCCCTCATCATAGGCCAGCGCTGGGAAACACAGCCTACCCCAGGCCCTCCCTTCTACTTGTGAGGGTCTCTTGCCGTAGTGCATTCAGAGTTCATTTTGTTTGTCACAGCCCAGGTCCAGCATCTCAACACTATTCTGGCTTATTGATTATGCCATCTAATTCATGTGCCATCCTTTCCAACTGGGTGCCCTTTTATAAGCCTGCCCTTGATGCAGCTCCCTCTGAGGTAGGTATCAGTAGGACAAATCTGGCCTACTGCCTGTTTTTGAAAGTGAAGTGATGTTGGAACACACCCACCCCCGTTCATGGACGTGCTGTCTGTGGCTGCTGTGTGCCACGGAGTTGGAGCGAAGAACTCGAACCGAGACCTGTGGACCACAAAGCCCGAAATACTTACTATCTGGCTCTTTACAGAAAAAGTTTGCCAACCCCTGAACTAAGGCATCAATAAAAAATTCTAAAAAGACCAGGGCAGAAGCCAGACCATGGATCATCCCAGCAGAGACCTCCCTTTTCTTTTTCTTTCTTTCTTTCTTTTTTTTTAATATTTTATTTATTTATTATTTGGGGGTGGGTGGGAGGGAGAGAGTGTGCACAAACAAGGGGAGGGGCAGAGGGACAGGGAGAGAGAGAACCACACGTGGACTCCCTGCTGAGCATGGACCCAATGAGGGGTTTGATCCCACGACCTTGAGATCATGACCTGAGCCAAAATCAAGAGTCTGACACTTAACCGACTGAGCTACCCAAGCGCCCCTCATTTGCTATTTCTTTGAATAAGATCTTTGAAGAAGTTATGAATCTAAGAGGTAATGCTTTAATCTTGCCATAATTCTGTCACATTGCATGTGTGGTGTCATGAGAAACCAGGTCAACGGCTCTGCTGAGGTTCACATCTTATAAACCTATTGTGCGTCCCTGATTGATTGGACTACGAACCTTGCTAAAAATATCACAACTAGTTCTTGGAGAATCCAGCTTAGTTTCTAGAATTCACTGCCACTGTTGTAGAGTGCTTATAAGCCCCTCTCCTGATCCAAGTTTTCTGTTAGTAAGCCTATTTTTATTTTCTAGTGGAATTCTGAAGTAAAACAAAAATAGCCAGGGTAGATTATAGTCTTGTCTGATACACACACACACACACACACACATAATTCTATAATTGACTATCTTGTTGAAAATGCTAATTAAAAAGAGCTAGATGGATGGAGACAGATAGGAAGAGCTATTTTGGGTAAGAAACCTATAAAGGAAGAAAACACCACATCAATATACCCCCCACACCAGACTTGTAAAATAAATGGTGGCCAAAGCCAAACAAGAGCATGGCAATCGGAAACAGTGTCAGGACCCCGTGGGAGCATTATTATAAACCAGCGAGCAAGAGTTACCCATGATGCCTTGCTAATGTAGAAATCATTTTTCTTCAGGCAGCATGCCCGTTCGAGTAATGACATACTCTGGGACCTGACTCAGGAGTTTCCTGACGGGGCTTCCTGCCCACCTTCCCAAAGCCAATATCCTGTGGGGGCTGAACTGGGGTCTGCATGGGCCCTCAGTGGGGGAGGAGGGGGCCTCACCTGACGGCTCGGATGGCGGCCTTCAGGGTGGGGATCATCTCTTCGATGAGGAAGTCATTCCCGTAGGCCCTGTCTTCCGCCATGGGATCACCTGTCCCAGCATCTGGGAGGGAGACACACAGATCAAACCGCAGGCCATAGCACTTGGAAAGGCTTGGGGACCCCATTTGGTCAGAGCCTTCGAGGCTCAACCGCCAGAGTCTTCGCTCCCACGCCATGAAACCATGTGGTGTTCTCCAGTTGTGACGCCGTTCAGGCCTTCTTAGCAGGTCCTTCTATTCTCCAGACATGAGTCGGAGTTGCCTGTGGTTCAGGACTGTTGACTGGGGAGAAGGCCAGCAAGGCAGGGACATGAGTTTTGGGGTTCCTGAGTGGTCTCTCTGAGGCAGCAAAGGGCATCCACGTGGGTGTTACCGTTGGACACCCGAGTCCAGATTCTTGCTGTCAGTCACTACCTTGGTGACCTTGTGGGGTCACTTTCTGAGCCCTCCCTGTCTTCCCTTGTCACAAGTAAAAGAGACACACAGAGGAATTGCTCCCACTGCCCCCACAGGGCTCTCTTCTATGACTTCTTCCCTCCCCCTGGGGGTGCTGAGGCCCCTGGGTCTCCAGATCATCCTGCACCTGGCCCTCTCTGTTGACCTCCATGGAAGTGCACCTCCATGTGGCCACCCTTAGGAGCCAAGGCTGTGAGTCCCAAGGCTCCCTGGAGGCATCTGTGCAGATGAGTGTGGCGATCCCGGCCCGGAGAACAGCTAACATGGGAGCCCCCCACTCCCCGAGCTGTGGGGATGCGTCACAGATGTCCCCAGCCCAGCGGGCGTGCATGAGATGAAGCACGAACCTGGTTCAGGAAGGTGGGGATGGGCTGCTCTAGAGATGGGGCAGGTCTTCTATCGGGGAAGAAGGGAGGGGAGGAAGGGGAGAGCGAGGCAGAAGGAGGAGTGGAGGGGACAGAGCGAGGGACGAGAAAGGCCTCACCTTCGGAGCTCTGCCAGAAAGCGTAGGCTTTCATGCGGAAGGCGGTGCGGAAACGTTCTTTATTGTTTAAGCCCACAGGCTTTGGTTCTTTAGAAGGACTTTCTTCTATGGCATCTACATTCAGAGGGGTAAATAGCTTTCCTTTAGTATTGCTACCACGAGGATTAGAAAGGCGAACCCGATCCAAGAGACCCAGCTTTTGGCTACAAAATAAGCAAAAGTGAACAATTTTCCTCCTTGAGTGCAGGCTTTTGTAATTACCCGTCCCTCTCCATAAAGACTCACACATTGACCTCCACGTGTGATGGGGGGAGGCGAGCCCTCGGCGCTAAAATTGATTTAACAGCTTGGACTGGGACAGGGCTTGGCAGCTTCCTAGCCATGACACTGTGGGCACGTTTCTTAACTTCTCTGCACCTCCCTTTTCTCAAATGTTGACATGGAGCTCAAATGGCCGAGAGGACAGCAAATGCCTAGCTCCCAGTGGCAGGTGGCTGAGCTTCATGCCTTCCCCTGTCCTGTCTCTTCAGTAACTTCCTTTGTACCACTTCATGGTGCGCAGGGAGCAGCTCTGGGCAGACTCGAATGACATAAATTACAGAAAGCAGGTACCCTAACCCGGATGGTTAGAACTTGGAGGGGGAGGTGGTCCCTGAGCTTGGATGGGAAAAACATTGCATCTTTAATTTACTAACCTCTAACAGAAATGAGTGTATCTTTCAATGATGAATGTAGATAATAAACCCTAGTAATACCCTCAATGCCCTGGTCTTATCCTGTGCCTTCCACAACAGAAATCCCAGGGCATTTTAGATCCTGTTATCTCCGGGGACTGCTGTGCTCATAGCTGTTTCCAAATGATGGTAGTATTCCGACCGGCCACGGGTCTTGTCCTTAAATCCATCACGGAGAAGCCCATATATAACTGCATCTCAAATGTTTCAATATTTTGATAGTTACCAATACAATCAGTTTCTTTTGCAACCGTATGCATTTTACATATGAATTGAAGATTGTGATTCTGAGAAAAGGTCTCTGGACTTCATCACAGGGCCAAAAGTGTTCTTGGCACAAAAAAAAAAAAAAAATAATAAGTCCAACATAAAGTAGCCCTGGTGCAAAACTTGTGTCCAGCCCCACCCCTGGCCATGCAGGTGACCTTGGGCAAATCTGTGCACTTTCTGAGCCTCAGGTACCTCATCTTTAAAATAGGGGTGCCCACTTTCTGCTTCATCTGGTTGCAAGGAGAGGATGTTTGCCAAGGATTTGGCATAGAGCCTGGCACGCAGTAGGTGCTCTATAAATATTAACCTCTTCCCTCTATTTCTCAACCTGCACCCTCTCCCTAGTGGGCAGGAGGAACAAGGCCCTCTCTGTGGGGTACATACCAGAGAAAAGCCACATGGCGAGTTTTCACACATTGAGAGACTCGACTTGGGGGCTTCCTCTCATTACCCCCCAACAGGGTTCGGCACACAGTAGGTGCACCATGTGCTTGTGGAATAAATATGGGCTGTTGACGCAGCTCTGCCTTGGCCTGAGCTAATTTAGTCTTTCTAAGGACTGTGTCGAGTGATTGCAGCCATGTGTTTCCTGCCAGAAGCTGTTGGTGTCTCTGGCGAGGTGCAGTGGGGAGGTCATGGGTGCAGGAGCTGTGGAGGAGGGTGGAACACTCCCCCTGCAGAGCAGGTGCCCCACGCCCTCTGAGCACCAGGTCCTGAATGGTAAGTGGGCCTAAGAGCACCTGCTGCGTAGAGGTCTGGGGAGGATTACATGTGATAACAGCTGCAGTATTTCCTGCCTTCAGTCTGGCACAGAGAAGGCACTAGGACGTATTTGGTTAATAAATAAATGAATGAACATATGGACGGGCAGCCGTTACTCCTGGCTCCCTCTGGACTGTTCTCTCTCACCCAGCATCGTTAAACTAATAACCTGACCAGAGTACATTCCGGGAAACTCTAGTACTCGGATGGCTCTATCCTCCCCGCGCCAAAGACAAAAATTTTCAGAGTGGCTTTCCTGACCAGTTCGAGATGAATGACTGTTAGGACAGAGAACTATATCAGGGTCCATGGGCTAGAAGTCCTGGACAAGGCAGGACGTCGACTGACAGAGGGAAGGCTTTCCTACCCATGAGCTCAGTACAAGGGGGACTTTAAGACAGTCTCTCCTCAGGTCTGCTTCTTTTTGGCCCCTGCTTCCTGTGTCTTGCTAGATCACCAAGAGGATCTGGCTTTCCATCTGCATCAAGCCTCTGCCTGCCCCGAGTCCCACCTGCATGCCGTGGCACGCCCAGTTCCTCCAGCTGCCATGCGCCCTGCCTTCTCAGCCCACCTCACTGCTATCTACCTTTAAAACGGCCCAAGCGCCACCCCATCCCTGGAAATCAGGGACTCCCCATGTGCTCCAACGACATGCTGCAGTTTTCTCTGTCACGCTCATACACACTGGTGCAGACCATATTTCCACGTCTGTCCCCCAATCCAGTCCCCCCCGCCCTGCCCCTGGAATGTGCAGTCCCAGCAAAGCAAAGACTCGGCCTGGTTATCTTTGAGCCCACGACCCGCCCTTCCTCAGCACATCCCCAAGTTCAGGGTGGCAGTGAAAATCATGACCTTTGGGGCAATCCCAGCCCTGAAGCATAAGATCCCGAGGAACATGTGAGCCGGGACACAGAAGTAACTCTCTCTGGCCCCAGCTCCTCACATGCGCAGTGAGGACAGCCCTCGCTGCCCGCGGCTCTGTGAGGGTTAAATGAGGGAGTGTGTGGAAAACACTCAGCCCACTTCTGGAATGAGGATTGGAGAAGGCTTCAGGACATGCTGGCTGTCACCATTATCTTGGTAAATAATCCTCTTCCTGCAGAAGCAGGAAGAGGGCTAATGACATGTGTGTTAAGGATGGATAAAATTTCCTGAGCCACGAGATAAGTGTTGTTTTTTTTTTTTTTTATAAACTGAAGATAAGTTCTGGGGATTTATATATTATTTTACAGTGCTTCCTAATGCCAGTCACACACACTCACCATTGCCACTGAACTTGACCTCAGCAGGAGATAAGTATATGCGGAGCTTCATTCCATGATCAACTAAGCAAGACAAACGTAATGGCAGCTGCTCTGTTCTGGCTGGAAATCTCAGCATAACCGGCAGAGAGTTAGGAAGTTAAGGACAGGGCCCTCTGGGTTCTATCTGTGCTGGGATTTAGGATTTGCCTGTTTGGCATTTCAATGCTTCATTGCAACCTCTAAGAGTCTGAACTGCTTCAGCTATGTTTACGTGATACGCCATGGTCGCAGATAACGGTTTATGAGAGAGAGATTCCAAGCATGTTAGGAACCCAGAGGCGTCAGGAACAAGTCAGAAACCTCAGATCTGAATTACTCCCAGGCATCACACCTAAGAGACTTATGGAATTCTTCCTCCAGTAAAGTGGGTGATCAGCTTACTTCTTAATCGCGTTGCTAGAAATCCAAGACTCCAAAGGATAACCAGATGCCAAAGTTCACCCCCGAAACTCAAACCCATCTCTGCCCTTCTCTGTACGGATTTCTAGCACATCAATGAGGCCTTGTGCTTAGAGGGTTCCACAGGTCTTGCAAGCAAAGCCTTCCCTGGAGCTGACATCAGATTTTCTTGGATAGCCGGGGCCCCTGATTTATCAAGTGCAGACAAACAATTTTCAAACATAAATTGTAAAACTGGAAATAGACTGGAGAAAAATAAAATCAAGAAGTAAAAATTTGCCCTGGCAGAGACAGCCCTTGCCCCGGGCTCCTGTCTTGGGTCACCCCAGGTACGCTCAACTCTACTCAGTTCCTTGACACTCACACTTCCACGCCTTTGCGTATGTCATGACCTGTACCCAGGAAAGCCTTCATCCCCTTCTTTTATCTAAACGACTCTGACTTTTCATATGAAACTTGGTCCAAGCATCTGCCCCAAGGCTCACTTCCCCTCGCAGTCCAATTACCTATCCATTCACTGTGTTTTCTGTAGGCATTTCACAACCATGGCACTTGGCCACCATAATGAAATCTTTGACTTACTGGGACTCTCTCGCATCAAAGCAGTGGTTCTCAACAAGGGACAATTATGTGCCCACCCCCCCCCAACAGTGGACATCTGGCAATGTCTGGAGTCATGTTTGATTGACATAACTTGGCAGGTGCTCTTGGCCTCCGGTGGGTCAAGGCCAGGGATGCTGCTGGACATCCTACAAACACACAAGGCGGCCCCTGACAACAAATAATGATCCCACCCCAAATACCCATGTTGTTGAGTCTGAGAAACTAAAAGGTAAGCTATTTTTCCGCAAACCATACTTTGGTCAATTATCCAGCATCTAACACAGCACCTGGCACGCTGTAAGCACTGAAAGTATTATTTGGATGTTGAATGAATGAAGGAATACAATATGTGATCTTCCAACCTCAGCTGAGAGAGGGAGTGCTGTGTGGTGGAAAGAGTGGACTTTGGAGCAAGAGACCTGCATTCAAACCTCTGCTCTGTAGTTAATATTTCAACTTGGTTAAGTCATTAGCTCTTTCTGATGTAGTTTTTCCACCTGTAAAGTAGAGCTGATGTTATTTATTTATTCAACAAGAATGTGTTCTACACCTTGTAAATGCTAGGCTCTTGGTAACTTGCTGAGGATATAGTGGTGACTGAAACAGACATGGTTTTCAGCCTCCAGTGAGCTTATGATGAGGTCAAGAAGACATACAATAAGCAAACAGATGCATAGATTGCTAGAAATCTGACCAGGAAACCAAGAGAGTGCTGTTATGGAGTGTAACGGGAGGCTGACTTTGATGGAGTTGTAAGGAAAGGCCTCTTGGGTGGATGGAAAGACCCATTAAGTGGCCAGTCTCAGTAGTCAGGTCCAGATGGGAAAGCTAAGACCTGAAGGGTGAAAAGAAGCCAGACTTCAAAGAAAAGGGGCAAGCACTCCCTGGGCAGAAGAATCACATGCTGGGTTTGTGTAACAGAAGGGAGTATATGACCAGAACAGTATGAATGAAGGGCAGAGTGGCACAAGGTGAGGTCAGAGGCCAGATCAGTAGGGATTCTAAAAATAGGATTCAGAATTAAGAATAGAAAATAGAAATTTCTGTTTGATTTTAAGGGCAACTGGAGGCCAGTAAGAGTTTTAAAAACTCTTTAAAAAGGAGAGAGTATTCCAACTTTGCATTTAAAAA